CCTGGGACACCCAGGCCAACCTCCTCAAGGGCCTGCAGGCAGGAGCCGCTGGGCACACAGTGCAGGGACACAGGCGTGCCCCTCAGCCTCCCCAGCGCCCTCTGGGTGAAGCCCCCTCCGGGTGAGGCCCCTGGAGTCATCTCACAGCTGTACAAGCACAGTCAGGGCCAGGAGTGAATCATAGCTCGGGGGCGGTGGGAGTATGTTGGAGGAAGGTGCCAGCTCCGTCCGTCCGCGCCTGCCTGTAATTACTACGGCCGCAGGCAGCGGATCCTAGCGCAGTGCTGTGAGGGGGAGGCTGCCAGCCACCCGGCTGCCCTGAGTGCAGAGTTTCCCTCACAGGTCCTGTGCAGCCACGGGGACGCTTCTCCATCCTGAGCTCCAAGGAAAACACTCAGACGGGGTAGCCAAGAAGATAACACAGAGCAGACCCCGCTGGGTGCACCGTGGTCCAAGGCGAGAGAACAGGAGCCAGCCCCAGCCAGCAGTGGTGAGAGGCACCCCCACACTGATGGACTATTTGGGTGCCTCCACCCAATAACAGCCACAGGCAATGCCAGCCCAGGGCAGCCCGCAGAGGGCCACTGGAGGCTGGGTGGGGACAAGGAGAGAGGGCCAGCCCTGCCCACCACCCACTGTTCCTGCAGTGACCCTGTTAGTGATCTGCTAACTGGGGGAAAGGTGAGCCAGGCCTGGCCCCTCTGTCAGGCTGCCACCCCGCACTCAGCCAGGCCACGCAGCAGCCCTCCCCTGCAAGACTACCCGTCCTGGGCTGTGCAACTGGTGCTGCCTGTAGCCTGGGGACAGGGCCTAGACCTTTGGAAGCTTCAGTCCAAAACAAAGTGGCAACAAGAACACAGCTCCCAGCAGCACTCACCGTATGCTCCTCCCCTCCAACTGTGGCCCTGGAGCTCAGAGTAGCAGGGGCCTTCATTTTGACCTTGAACTTCAAGTCTGCTAGGTCAGCCCCATAAGCCAAGCTGATCTGGCCAGTAAAGGACACATGCTCAAGGTAAGACCCACCAGGACAGCAGGCACAGGCTAGACACCCTCCCAATGCAGCCCAGAACTCCACAGCCCTGAACCACCCAGTTTCAGCCATCAGCAAACCCTGGCCGCATGCAACCACGAGCCAGGGGCCAGGTGCCTCAGAGCCAACAGGACTGCCCTGTGCCCCCAAAGCCAGCAATCTATAGAACACGACCTGGACCAAAGGCTGCAGGAGCTGGTCAGCTCAGAAGCCAGCATGACAGCGAAACTGTCCTTCACTGCCCTGGCTACCCTACAAAGGGGACCAGATCAGCGCTGCCCAGGAGATGCAGTCCTGCTGAAATGCCAGGAGAGGGGGCAGCGCGGGTGGGCACAGGTTAATGGAACATGCTCGAAGAAAGGGGAGTGCAGACCCGGGTACCATATGGGAAGACGGTATCCAAGGGGGTGTTCCCGGAGATACAAAGCACCACGTGCACGTGTGCACACAAACATGTGTACGTACATACACACATGTGCACCCTCACACACACAGAGCCGGCCACAGCACTGTGACTTCTCTCCTCCTCAGCAAAGTAGACACCTGGTTTACTGCCCTCCAGGCAGATGGCTCCACTGCCAGGGGGTACCTGTCAGAGACGCCATTGCATCATCACCAAACGGGGGGCCACTGAGCCCCGTCCACCCCGAACACCGCGTTTCAGATGGCAGCCAATGGTGCCGTGTGACTGCTCAGCCGCCGAATGAGGGTCAAGGTGGCCTAAGGTCATCAGCAGAGTGTGTGGGAGGCCCATGCTTCCCACAGCTCCCCAGATACCACCGGAGAAGCAGGCAGGTGTGTGCAGGAATGGGCCAGGCCTGCACAGTCAGGCCTCCCATCAGAAAGGCCAGTGGCCGGCTCCCTACCACCCAGTACCTGACGCCCACCACCTGGTGCCAGCCCTTACCAATCACGCCAGAGGTGACACACCCATAGGCTCTCGGCTCCAGGAACACTGTGGCCCTGCCCCCTCGCAGGCCGGCTTCCCCACCACAGCTACAGGGTAAGGAGGACAATCAGATGGCCTCTGCTGACCAGCCTGCCCAAGGCCTAGGGGCCACAACACCAGGAATAGCTGGCCGGAGGCTTTACTAGGACCTGCTCCTCCTGGGGCTGCTTTTGCACCGTCTCTCATCCTCAGGACAGGCTGCAGCTGCCACCTTCAAGGGCTATCGGGTCACCCAGAAACCAGGGTCCTCTTGGGATACAAGACCATGAGAAAAACACCAACCTGACAGTGTCCCCGGCACCGCCAGGAACCACAATCAGATGCCACAGAAGGCCCCTCCGCACACAGGGACACCGGAGGGCTCCCCGACAGGACTGCAGTCTCAGGCTGCCTTAACTCTGAACAGCGCAGTCACCTGGGGGGCAGCAGTTCCCCACCCAGCACTCTGTCCCCCGATCCGGGCCATTGCCCAGGGCTGCCCCGAGCAAGTGCCAAGCCCCGGCTCCAGGCTCTGTGGGAAGGAGGAAGGGGCTTCTTCGCCGCCCTCTCCCTCTCCCGCGGGGCCCAACCAGTCCCTGCCCCTGCAGCGCCCGCGGGTGCTTTCTCAGCAGCCTTCAGGAAGCCGTTCTGCTCCTCTCCCCTCATCTTCCATGAAATTCCCCGAGGACACAGCTCCCAAGGGAACTGAGCCGCCAGGAAAGAGGTCAAAGTCTGCGTTACAGATTCTTCCAGGGAGGAAAATCAAAACCGTACATTTTATTCTCGCACTTTTTGTCAGCAAGGCCAAGGACGAGCGTCTTCCTCTGCCAAGGCAAACACCACTCAGAACTGCAGTGAGGCCATGCAAAGGCCAAACCAAACAGCCCAGCCACATCACGGGGTGACACCGAACAGGTCACAGCCCAGCCACTCCCAGAGGCACTGCCAAGGTTCCCGCCAGCTGCCCACATGGACACAGGAGCAGCCCCTCCAAGGGATGCCAGAGGCAGCACTGTCCCAGGACAGGACAGGGCACAATGCCGTCTGTACCAGCTGGACCGGCCCAGATCTGCACACGAGTGGCTTCAGCTGTCTCCTGACTGTGCCTCTACGTGGGCTGGATTTCTCCCTGGCCGACGTGCAAAGCTGCCCAACCTGTACTGGCACTGCCGAGGCACCTTGAGCTCCCCAGTGACAAAGCACAAAAAGGTAACAGAGCACCAGAACTCAAAGACTCAGCAGCCAGGCCCCTGTGGCAGCAAGAGCCACCTGCAAAGCCACACCTGCTGGCCGCGAAGCAGCAGTGCAAGTCTGTTGCCAGGGCAGGAACTCCCAGGGTGGAACAACCTCTTCCGACAGCTACAGCCTATCTGTGTCCAACCCTGCAAAGCCGTGTTATTTCACTGCCACACCTTCATGGGGAAACTCTCCAATCAACTGACCAAAAGAACAAAAAACACAGAACCGGTATGTTTGATGTGTGCCCCACACCTGCCAATCTGCTTCCAGAGGGGCTGAAAGTCCCCAACACTCTAATTCTAGTAAGTTTTCCTGCCACCCTCCTGCTGAAAGATCTCTCTCCAAACATCCAGATAAATCCCAGCTCCAACTGGGTGAAGCTACACGCTGACTGCCCCGGTTACCAGAGTTTTATTGAGGACAATCACGGAATTCCCCAGAGCAAACCCTCTCCATGCATCCCTCGAAATTCCACCACGAAAGTTCCTGTTTGTGGGTTTCGGTGCAGAAGCGAAGTGGGGGAAGAAAAGACAGTACCCAGGGCAGCTCTCCCACCCCTGCAATAATGAGCAAAGCATAATGCAACTAATGACTAATAATTTAATAGTCTTCCCTCCCTTGACAGCATTTGCTTTCACAGAGCAACAAGCCAGGAACGTGTGCCACGCGCTGCGTTGGTCCCAAACGCAGAAACTCCCGAGGCTGCCCCTTCCCATGGGGACCGAGCTGTCCTCTGAGTCCTGCTTACTAGCAGGTCTGACGTGGCTTCAGAACTTATGGGTGGCTCCCACCCGCCTTAAAATTCTTCCGGACTAGAATAGCTGCAACTTTAAAACCTTTATTAAAAGCTCCGTTAAAGTGCAATCTGCCCCCTGGACTCCAGCTGGAATCAAAGGGGCCACCCCAGGAGCCTCCATCTGGCTGTCCCGAGCCAGCCAGTTAAGAGGGTTTCCAGGCCGAGGCTAAGAAGGCGCAGCCGCCCTGGAAACTGTTGCTCTGCCGGCTGCTGCCAGCCCTCGAGCGGCCGCGACTCGCACCTGCCCTGTGCATGCCAGCTCCTCCGCGGCTTCAGACATTTTGGAAACGAGGCACCCCTTGGCAGGAGGTCCCCCCACGAGAAGATGCCCCCGCCCCGACTGCAGGGCCGGAGCCAGGGGGCCACCTGCGAGGTCTGCCCGCGCGCGCGCAGCCACGGAACGGCCGAGGAGGGCGACCCCGCGGTTCCGGGATGCGAAGCTGTTTCGCGGCCCGGCGAGGACGCGGGTGCGACTCCTCACACACCGACGCCGAGCGGCGCCAGCCTCCCCCGCGCTCGTCCTCCCGCTCCGCGGTTACATAAGATGACGCTCATCCGTCCAGCGCCGCCGCCGCCGCCGCCCGCCGCCCACCGTGGACGGCGGCAGGAGCCGCGGGCTGAGGGAAGCCTGTTGCGGCGCAAGTGCGGGGCTCGTGGGCCGCGCGGGGAGGAGCCCCTTCCGCCCCCGCCTCACCGGCCCGCGGGCCGGCGGGACTCGAGGGCCCCGGGCCCCGTGCCCCGCGCCCACGACGCCAGGGCGGCAACGGGGAGGCGCGCGGCCGTCGAGCCGGGCAGGGCGCCCACAGGCCGAGGAGTCCGGGCGGGGAGCCCACCTGTGACCGGCCGGGCGGGCCACCCGTCCGCACCCCGAGGTCCCGGCGGCCGCGCCGGGAAGACCCCGAGGTCCCGGCCTCCCGGCCCGCACTCGGCCGGGGCCGCCCCAGTCGGGCCGGAGCGCGCGGGGCCCGAGCGCTCCCAGACCGGACTCCGCTCGGCGCTGGGCTCACCTTGTAGACATTTTCCGTGAGCCGGTGCATCTCCTCCGAGCGCGACAGCGACATGGTCCTGGGTCCCGGCTGCACCACAGACCGGAGCGGGGGCGCAGACGGCTGCGACAGCAGCAACACCAAGCAAAAAAGCGCGTAAACCCGAACTACAGACCGCGGCGTCCGGCGGCGTCCGCTTTTATTGCCGCCGCAGGCCCCGCCCCGCCACAGGCCCCGCCCCTGAGCCCCGCCCCCGCCGCGCCCGGATCACCGCCCCCGGCCTCCCGCCCCCGCCCAGCCCAGCCGGTGCTAGGCAACCGCCAGGCCCCGCCCCCGCACCGCCCTTGCCATTGGCGGGTTCCGGAGACGGGGGAAGGGGGCGGGATCATGGGCGGGGCCTGGCATCCGGTTGCAGGTAGCGATTGGCCAGCTGCGGCGTCGATCCCAGGGGAGGAGGTGGAGGCGCAACGCGGGCTGGGGCTCCGGGAGCAGCCTGAGGGGGGCCGGGGCGACAGCCGGGCTGGGTGCGGGGAGGCGGGGGCGGGGTGGCGCAGGAAGCGGGAGCAGAAGGTGGGGGGAGGAGCGCGGGGGGCGCCGCGGCGAGTGCGCGTGGAGGCGGCACTTCGCGAAGTGGCTCTGCGGGGCGGCCGGGCCGGGCTGGCGCTGCGGGAAAGGAGGGTCCCCGGAAAGGAGGGTCCGGGCCGCTCAGCGCCGGGCGACGCTGGCCGGCTTGGTGGTGACAGCCGAGCGCGCGGCGCGGCAGCGGCCGGCGCGACCCCGTACCTTCGCAGGTGAGTCCGCCAGGCGGGCGGCGACCCCGGCCGACCCTCTGGGACGGAGTAGATAGAACCTGGAGGAGGGGCTCTGGAGAGAGCGGGACCCCGGAACCTGGACCCTGGTCCCCAGAGGAGGACGACTTGGGAGCGCGCTGAGAGGACCGGAGGCAGGACCCCGCGGAGGCGTGGACCGCGGAGCTAGGCAGACCCAGGCGGTGCTGCAGCAGTGCTTGGAGCTGGGATTCTGGAGAGGGTCGAGGAGGCTTTGGAGAAGAGGACCCCGGGGCAGGGAGGACCCTGGGGAGGAGGATCTGGAGACAGGCGAATAGGGGTTAGGGAGAGGATACTGCCAGGAGGACTGGGAGTGGGGATTGGGGGACCCTCGGAGAGGGAGAGGACCTTCATGAGGACAGAGGTCCTCGTTGGGGCAGTGTCCTTGGGGAGGGAGGTCTCTGGGGAGGGTCTCTGGTGGTAGGAGAAGAGGGGCAGGGAGGTGCCTGTGGGATGGAAAACCCTGGGGGGGACTTGTATTACTAGAAAGGATGGAAGGGCCAGGGCTGCCTCTGGGTTTAAAGGAGGGTCCTGCTTAGGGGTACACTTAGGGGGAGATCTGGCTCAGGAAGCTGACCAAGCTGGCACACAGGGTTCCCAGTACAATTCCCTTGGAGGAATATTTACATAAATTAGACTAACATAGAGGAATTATTTGCTTGACGTCGTAAAACACCAGATCTGAGTGTTTCCCTTTAATTAAACCTGACACTCTCCCAGCATCCCATCCCTGGGAAATCAGTCATTCGTTCATTTCTTCAACAAGTACAGGCACCCAGGGAGGAGACAGGCCCACAGGACCACTGCCAGACCCCCAGGCGGATGACGAGGGATGCGACAGGCCTGAACACACTGGCTCTGCTCCGTGTGCAGGGAAAGGAGCGGAGCGGGGTGCAGGAAGCGCCCTGTGCCCTCTCCTTTGGCTTAGCTTCCTGCCCGCTACTGGCCCTGCTTCCCTCTTTGTTGTCAATCGTGTCGCTAGGTCCCTGAGTATTTATTTTTTGGGATTCTTTTGGATGGGAATGACAGAAAGCCAGCCCAGACTGGCTCCAACAAACAAGGGTGTTTTTTGGCTCCCAAGCCCAAAAAGTCAGGAGCATCTTCCAGGCCCCTGACTCCCTTTCCCTGGGCCAGCCTGGGGCAGCGCACACTCCACCCCACCCACCTAACACCAGCCCTAGGACTGACCATGTGGGCTGGGAGGCAAGAGGAAACCTGGCTGGCCCGAAGGACAGTTGAGTGCTCGGACCAGGGTGACAGATGGAGGTAAACACAGTAGAGGGAGTCAGCCCAGGTTTCTGCCCCTGGCCTTGCTCCCATCAGCCACAAGACGGGAGAGGGAGCAGCGGCCCTCCAGAAAAGCTCCGGTGGTCTTGGGCCCACTGCACCTTCTAGAAGCTCTCCAGGTGCTTTCCTGGGCTGGCCTGCCTGTGATCGCCCTACTCCTGTCCAAGGGGACGTTCATATTCAGTGACCAACTCAGAGTCCAGCCTGCGTTCCAGGTGGGCCAGGGGCTCAGCAGCCTCAGTGCCTAGGCCTGGCAGCTGGACGGGAGGCTGAACTTCTCCAGCCACCAGTGAGAAGAGGAGTCTCAATGCCTGCTGCAAGTGGAAACGGCCCGAGACTTAGCAACAAGGAAATGCATGTGGCTGACAGCAAGCAGAGAGTCACTGGTGGCCAGGTCCTCTTGCCTGGGAATGGAGGACAAGGACAGGCATCAGTGCCCTGCCTCGCCCCTGCCCTGGGCCACCAGCCTCAGGGAGGTGTCCACCGGGGATGTGCCCCATCTGGGGAAGGAGGTCCTAGCCCCAGACTACATTTCCTCCATTTCTTCTGAGGCCTTTCAATGTGCAGGGCCTGGGTGGGACTCAGGTCCTGAGAGTGCAAGGCCAGGCTGGTGGGCGGGGTGTGTGACATCAGCCCTGACGCCAGCTCGAGGTGGAGATGCAAGCACTCTTGTCAGGACACATTTCTGTTTTGGAGGCTTTCAAAGCCTTTTACAAACCTCCCCTCCTTCCCTCTCCCCTCGCCTCTCAGAATCTGTTGGGGCAGCTGTGAACTCCCACTGCTTGCCTGAAGGTTCAGTAGCATGGCTGGAAATCGTGGCCCAGACTTGGGATCTCACCACCCTAAAACGGGCAAGAGGAAGCAGCTGTCAAGGTGGAGAAGCCTCACTCTTCCGCACCCTCCTGGAAGAACAGCAAGAGTGATAGCGCCAGCTGGCCGAGACTGCCAGCCACCACACCCTCCCAGGCCCGCTGTCCTCACCCCAGACCAGGGGTGGGGGGAGTGAGTTTCACAAACCCAGGTTCTGGGGTGGGGGTGGGAGCAGGTTTCTATAAATGAGCAGCTCACGGAGAATCACTGAGAAAGGAGGCAGATGGGCGTCCGTATGCGGCAAGTTTTCCCTCTCTCCGGTGACTGTCAGCCCTCACCCGGGCAGACGTGGGACCAGGGAGGACCGTGGCCATGGAGATCCCCGGCACCCCAGCTCTGGACTAGAGCATCTGCTGCCCCACGCACCAGCGATGGGCGCTCGTGCCCACAGTGTGCTGAGCTGGGCCGGAGGCAGAAGTGACTTCAGAGCCAGAATCTGGCCCTACCGAGCCGCTGCCACCGGCCCAGGGTCAGCCCCCGTCAGGATGGGCAGCTCAGGAGGAAAGGGCTGGAAGCAGGGAGCATGCATGTGCACGCCTTCATCAGCTTATTTTTAGTTGCCTTATGTAAGTGGCTTCATCTCAACGTCACATGGGGGGGTCTCAGATTTAATTACAGGATGACAGCCTTTGCTTTTCAAGCAAGCTGTTCTACTGGCAAGGCAGGCACAGGATTTGTGAGTTTTTGCTCAACAGAAGGAGCCCTTTCTGAGGTGTCCACTCCGCAAAGCTTGAGCCGCTTTCACCTCCACCGCCCTCTGCCTGACCAGCCTGCCCCAGCTTTGGCTGAGCCCGGCCTGAGACAGCAGCCTGTGTCCGAGATCCGGGGACATTCTCTGCCCATCCTGGAGCTTCCTCTCACCCGTCCTCTCCCTCCCACCCCGCTGCTTGGCAGCTTTTCCTTCTAAGAGAAGGAGCCACCAATCAGAACTCCTCTTCCCTTTCTTCACTCCTAGATTAAAGCACTGTAATCAGGAACCAGAAAGTTCCAGAGCAGGGAAACCAGAAGGTGCTGGAGCTCTCAGGCGGGCTCCTTTTCTCCGCCCCCCCGCCCTGCCCCATCCACCCCTGTCCCGTGCTGCTCCACCCACACCAGGCACTGTGGGCCACTGGACCTGGGACACGGTTGCCCGGTGAAACTGTCCACGTTGTGTCCGGAGCACGGTTTTCCCACGTCCTGGACAGGCTGGACAGCCCTGCATTCTTCACGGTGTTATCAGCAAGAAAGCGCCGAGGCGAGCCCTGGCTCCAGAGTCCCGCTTCCTGCAGGCAGGAGGCCACCGTGGCCGCCTCCAGTGCACTTCGGCTTTTTCCGGTGTAAAAGGCAGAGCCGCGTGTCCGCTGCAGGCCGTGTCCTGCCAGGGTAAGGACAGGATGAGCTTTGATGCGGACAAGCATGGCGTGCGGCTGAGGGAGGAGGTGCCGAGTCCAGAGCTGGTCACTGGCTCCTGAGCAGGTTCCACAGCCCCTAGGAGCCCCGCGTGGAGGGGCAGGATGCACAGTGTTGCTGGGTGGACGGAGTTGAGGCATAAAGTGGCTTGAAAGGGCCAGGAACTAAACGTGGCACATGGTGAGTCCCCGGTAAGTCCTAGAGATCGTTACTGTCATTGTTGCTCAGACAGGACGTTTCTCAGGAGCCCCCACGTGCTACGTAGAAAGGCACTCCAGAGGCTGACCTTCCGACAGTCGGGGGCCCCCGGGGAGGGGACCCGCCCCCCGCCCCTTCTGTGTGGCTGCACGCAGTGACCTCCTTCCCGAGAGCACAGCGCAGAGAAGCCTGACCAGCCCACCTTGGCGGGTGACCAAGGCAGCACCGCCAGTGAGAGGCCACGTGGGTGGCATGGACCCCCCGACAGGCTGTGACAAGAAGGGCACCTCACCTCTGCAGTCTTCTCCTGAAAACCTGTAATCCCCGTCTGATGAGAAAAACGTCAGGCGAGTCCCAGCAGGGGATGTTCTACAAAACTCCTGACCGGCGCTCCTTCAACCGCCAACGTCGTGAAAACCAGCGAAGTCTAAGGAACTGTCCCAACCAAGAGGAGACGAGAGGACTCTGTCATGTGGGATCCTGGGACAGAAAGAGGACCGTAGGGGAAACTGAGGAAACGAATACAGTGCGGCTGTATCAAGGTAGCAATATTGGTTCCTTTCTTGTAGCAAAGAGGGGAACGGGGCGCGAGGTACCGTTGCACTTACTGTGTAAATCCAGAA